ACGCGTGGCCTTCTGATAGGGAGCAGGCTCACTTTGGCACATCTTCTGCGAAGCAAAGCAAAGCTCCGCCACAGTGAAACACCAAGGCAAAGCCAGAGCATCCAGGTGCACAAGCGTGTTTCAAGTGACAGGACAGACTTTGCCAAGGCTCAGATCTCCCACTTTTCTCCATGTCCATCCTGTCAGGGTTTTGAAATATCTTAACCTGTCACACTACAACAAACCTTATGTTCTGAGGTAACAACTACACCAGCTGTTTACTCTCTGGCTTTGACGGGTGTGCTCCCACCCTTCTCCCTCTCCTTCTCTGATAGTTGCTTCCACATCTCTACCTTTTTGATGCACAAACTTGCTGGCAGTGACTCTGAAAGTGCAGGTTAGTGCTACCATACCAACTGGCAGAAAACAGCAAAACCAACCACAGAAGCTGGGTTTTTCTTTCAGAAATTAACTCTGTCATCTCTACAGCACACTAGCAGCTACCAGACAAGCAGTCCTGTCAAACTCCCATCTGCTGCCCTGCTCGCACTGCTGCACACAGGCACAGCTGCCTTATATCCTCTGCCTGCAAAAAACTTGCATTGAAGAACTAGATGCAACACAAGTTTAAACAAGGTACAAGTATCTACACAAAAATTCTCTTAGACAACAGCAGGGACAGCTCTGCCTTCCCGTGCCAGGCTGCTTTTCAGGCCCAGCAGCCAGCCTGGCTGGCTCTGTCTCAGAGCAGCCCCGCACACTCAGGAAGGCTGGGGCTGGGGGATGCTTCCACTTGCTGGGTGCTGAGGACGAGTGTCCCCACTGGAGGCACACCACAGCCAGTCCCCAGCATGTCCCAGCAGCCTTCACACGGTGGCCTGGGAGCAGGGACAACAACAGTGACCAGAGAGCAGCCAGAGCAAAAAGTAAGTAAGAGAGCATGTGCCCAAATCAAGGGATCTTACGGTTTTCCATTTGTGTTCACTTATTTATTATTATATTTTTAAATATATGGCAGTAACTTCTCTCGATATCAGTCCACAGAAGAACTGAATAAACTCTCAATGCTCACGTTACCTCAGGACGTAGGTACAGGTAAGAGGACCATACGTACCCTCATGGCTTCCTCCCATCCCAGGGCTTGGTTTGTTCAGCTACCAGTTGTGGCAGGGTGATCTTCAGGAATGGGGACAAGAGTTTTGCACTGTGCCATTCAAGTGTTGAAACCTCAGCTTTTAAAGCCTTAATTGGGCAGGAGCCATGTTTATTTTAAATTTGAAGAAAAAAAAAAATCTCTTCTTTCTGAGGCATTTCAAGAACTCACTTCCTGCGTATCTACAGGAGATGGCTCCTAAGTATCTCCCGCATCCCCTGTACTACTGGCAGAGTTTAAATATACTGAAAATAATACGCGTCACCAGAGTTGACAAAAATTTCTTCTTTTCTTTAATACAAACACTTGTGTTTTCTGTCTTAGCTTTAAAAGAGTTAACCAAAAAAACCTTTATAAGCTTTCTTAGCACTTCAGACTGCCTTTTCAAAGTACCAGGGAGAGAGGAAAGGATGCCTTTCTCCAAGGCATGTTTCCCAAAACATGAATTAACCAGCAACTTTGGGTATCATCTGACATTTCTTAAGCCTTCATAATTCTTATCACAGCGTGGTATTGCTTTTGCCATTGGCTGAATGTTGGGGTTTTTTTTAAAAGAAACCAACAGCATGTGTCTACCAAGCTAAATCGCATGGGATATTAGGAACCCTCCTCTCTCCTCCAAAACAGATGTGAAACACAGATGCCAAGTAATAAGAGCCCCCGACTGCTAACATGAATATCAAGGGACAGCTAGTAATTCTTTTTATCCGTATTATAACACTGTCACTTCTTCTGGAAATAAACAAAGGAATAAATCTTATACACAGATCTATTTATGCAGTGGGTTGATATTAAGTTTTTTTGTGCTGCTGCCAACGCAAACCAGAAAATGAGATTTTAAAAGTGCCAATTTTCTTCTGATGTACACTTCACAAAAGTCTGTAGAAACTCAGACAAAATAGGAAGGACTGTTTTTAGGAAATACGTAACAGAGAAAATACTTTATTTTAGTAACTGAATGTTCACTTCTGGTAACAATTATATTTTTACAACAGAGCTAACTTGCAAGAACAATCTCGTGCTACTGACCAGAAATAGAAGCTTTGTCTGTGTATGTTGCCCACACTTTGTAACAATCGAAGTTCCACAGCAAAAACCAGTGCTATTAAACAAAAAAGGATTTTCAGGGAGGACAACAATTGTAAAATTCACAACAACTGTTGTTTTTAAGTATTCTTTTTTAGTATCTTTAGGGCTATTTCACCAACTGTTAACTGTCCTCTTGTCCTACATATACTGTTATCACAATCAGTTCATATAGTCACTTTATAAAAGTGCAAGTTGAATAATCATTTTACTGCACATATTAGCTACTGGTTGCATGTATATTAGATAAAAAATTAAATCATTCTGCAGTTTTAATCCACAAGGGACTGTGCACCACTTCAGACAGCTGAGATCGCACCTCCCAGATGTCAATGGTACCTGCACACATTCTGCAAGTTACAGTCAGAGGCGAACTGCAGTCTGAATAACTTGGTTAAAGACACTCTTAAAAAATGCAAATTTTATCTTTCTGCAGATAACATAAGATTCTTCTGAGAAGATTTACAAGAGTAAATAGCTATACTTTAAAAGACTTCTGTGGAAGAGCCACAATGGGTTTCACAAACATGCATCAACTAAATCTGCATCTCTATATTAGCAAAAGGGTAAACTTGTGCTTTATTTCCTTATGTGTATAATATGGAAATAGAACGTAAAATAAGATTCCCATATTTTGGGAATCAAGTGCCAGGGATGCAAATACATTCCACAGAAGCATTTGATGCCTGTTTCAACAACAGATAATTCCCAGACCACAAGAATAAAACTGCAAGCTTTGTACTATTACTCAAGATTTGTGACCATCTATTAGATGCTCACATCATCAGTGTGCAGTTTTGTGCCATTCCTTAAATTCAGTATGGAATTGGTAAGGATCACAGAGCCAAGGAAGGCTGTAGATCGAAATCCTGCAGATACGGAGAGATGTAGCACCATAGCATTAAGAAGAATTTCTCCCTCAGGGGCCTCTTCCCCCTCCAATCCTCCATTTTTGCCCTCCCCACCCAAAAAACACTTTTAATAACACACTGAATTGATAACACCTATGTTTAAGGATATACTTTGCTAGACCAACAGGACACCAGATTTCAGGTAAAGTCAGAAAAATCTTCTCTCATTCCAGCACTCTGGAAGAACAGCCTGTCAGGTCTGAACATCCTAGGAACACAGTGTAATTCCAAGCCTCTAGCTGCCAATATCCCCTTCAAGGCACAGCCTGTAAAGATTTGAAGAAAACTATACTGAGGACTGTAGCTGTAAAGCAAGCCACACTTTTCATTACGGGAGTAAGCTCAGTCAGCCGCTTACTGGATCAAAGGCTCACAAAGGCGCAGCTAATCTCAGAGGTAAATTTTCATCTGGATGTAGCTGATCTCAAAAGGAGAAGGAAATCAGAAATATCAAGTGGGAGAGGTCTTGAAACGTCTTTATTATTAGCTAATAGAAAGCTAATTGTTAGCTTCTCCCAATCAACTCTGGCTCCATGGGCTGCTAGGACTGCACGGAGAAAAGAACGATACAAGAGCAGCTGCTACTGGCTGTAGCATTTACGCTTTTCTATGTGACTGAAGACCAAGGAAAAGCAATGCCCTCAGCCTGTTGCATACACCAAGGCAGTATTTTGTAACAGTAACAGAAACACAGAATATATATACCACGTCTCAAGTTTAGCATGGCAGGACATTGAGAGAGACTTGGATAAATCAAGCTAGTCTACATCGTGCCACCACTCCTGAAGATCCCTGACACAGAGGCCACTGCGGTA